AAATAATGTGGCAGATGGCCCCTTTCGATAAATGGACTTGGAAAAAAGTTTCCCCTGCAATAAAGGATACATTAATACAACATTTAGGGGTAAATTATTTATATAAAAATATTTTATATGGTTAATTATGACTGGTTTTTACTTGGTTAACTTTTTTTTGTAGACATAGTTTGATTTGGATCAGATGTACCGGGATCCAGACGCTCATCTGTTGACAGAGAGTTTTCAACCAGCTTTGTTAAAAGGTTATCGAGAGCATAAATTTGATGCAAAGTAATATTTTATGGAAGTCAGAGGGTATCATGATATCCCGAGAGCATTAGCCAACCCTCCAGATGGTATGGATGTTGATAATTGGAAGAAAACAATTGAGTATTTCCAAACGAAAGAACACATAATTGCTTCAGAAAGGAACAAAAAAGTCCGTCAAATGCAAACGACCGTGAATCGTGGGGGGTCGAGCTCGTATAGCAGTACTTGCTATAAGAAGGTAACGTACAATACATGTAATTCTTTATTTAAAATATAATCTAATTTTTAATATTAAACAAAACCTTAAGAGAGTGGAACCGTTTTCGCAAGGCTCATAACGATAGGGATGGTCTATTTGTTACTGTCGAGCCGGAACAACAATAAATAAGTATTTAATTATAATTTTGAAATATCCCAAAAATCATGACCACAAATTTCATTTTTAAACCATTAAATATACCATAGTTATTAAAATTATTTCCTCAAAATATAAGTCATAGTATTCCAAACATCAATCAGAGCATCGTATCAAAACATCAGAGTAAACCATCCCAAACTCCTCTCTTTCCAACTGGAAGTACCTGAAACCAAAAATGAAAACCGTAAGCATAAAGATTAGTGAGTTACCCAACCTACCACATGTCATACACATAATCACACATACTAGGCCCCCGCCCCTACATCGGGCCCCGCCCGGCATCGAATAGTGTCCAGCATCAGGCCCCGCCTGACATCGATTCCCGCTCGGTATATAAATCTGTTTCTTCCAGACCCTGCCTGTCTCTGGGCCTCACCCACTATAAACATACAAACAATCTCAAATAATCATACTAGCATATAAAAATTCATACACAGTACTATATGCTCAAGTCCTAAGGTCTCACCTATCATGGGCCCCGCCCCTACTTCACTAATGATGAGATATGGAACCCCGTCCATACTCAGCTAGTGATCAGATACGGGAACCCGCCCACACTCACCTCACTACCAGGTACATACGAGTATCACAAAGACAACAAGTATAACTAAACATGCATACCTTCCTCGGGAAATGCACGACATCGGACCGTAGTCCGGAAACATACATATAAACATTCCTCGGGCCCCGCCCGGCATCGGACCGTAATCCAGAAACATACCATACAGACACATGCATGAATCACGAAGAAATCAAGCGTACCAACATTCCTCGGGCACCGCCCGACATCGGACACTAGTCCGGAACATACAATCATACATGCATACAAATACGTGCCGGTATTGGTGCCTTAGACCCGTTCACACAAAGGGAAACTCACCTCGCAAGGCTGAATCTCACGTATAATCCTCTGGCTGCTAGCTGGCAAATCCCCGAACTGCTGATCCTTCGGCTCCCCGAGCTGCTAGTCATCATATAAACTAATTAAGTTTGGGATTCTCATAGCTTCACTATAAGTCCTCACTGTGGTAAAATACCATTCTACCCCTCACATACACTTGTCCGAATATGGACTCTATTCAACCCTTTTGAACCCATTTCATACTTCATAATCCTCCACGGCCAACCTTTGTCAAAGTCAAAGTCAACACTCCCAATTGATTCAACTCGTCGAGTTTGCCCTTCAACTCGTCGAGTTCCCATGAGTCACAGAACTATGAAATCGCGATCTAACTCGTCGAGTTCTTCTATGAACTCGTTGAGTTCTCCCCTTTAAACAAAATTGGGATTTGTCGACCCAACTCGTCGAGTTCCTCTATGACCTCGTCGAGTTCTTCATTCTGTTAGCCTTTCTCAATGCATTAAGCCCTTATTCTATAGATCTACACTCTATACTCCAAATCTAAACTGAAAATACTTCTGGAAGGGTAAAGTTCCAACTTTACCCTTTAATATCTTTCCTAAATGGATTAAGCTCAAACCCTAACCCAAAAAGGCTAAAGTCTTAATTCAAACACCACCAAAACTGCAAGATTAACAATAGGGTCATAGATCTGGACTCTAGGGCAAGAAGATCTCATACAACTTCAAGCTCTATCCACATACATGGCCCTTTTGGAGCTAGAGAGGCCAAACATAGAAGCTTATAGGTTGCATGGGACTTCCATGGCCATAAAGTTGGCACCTTTATATCATGAGAGTCCCTCTAGACACTAGATCTGGAGTGTTCTTCACTTGGGACGTCCAAATCCCAAGAGTCATATCATTTGGACCAAAAACCACATAAAGGATGCTAAGATGGAGATCTAATCAACTACTAGTCAAGTTTGAGACTTGATTACCAGAAAGTGACGAAAATGGAGAGAGGTTTCTGGAGCTAGCAACTCTTCATTGTTCCTTCAAGCTTTCCTTCCTTCCAAGCTCTTCAAGCACTCACAAGAACACTCAAAATGGCTCACAATAGCATTAGGTTTTCGAGATCTAGGGTTTAGACAATGGAGGCTAGAAATAAGGCCAAACCCTAGGCCATAAAGTGTTTAAATAGGATGCAAAATCTCGAATTTAGGGTTTCCCAAACCCAGTCCAACTCGTCGAGTTGGTCCTCCCCAACTCGTCGAGTTGGTCCTTAAATTCCTGCCTACCCAATGTTCCTAATCGTCGAGTTCTCACCCTTGAACTCGACGAGTTGCCTTCTTGATTTGAGGTTTTTCTTTCCTTAATTGGCCTTCTGGTTTCTGGGTGTTAAAAAATTTATCATATAATTAAGTGTTTATTTATATTTAATTGTTAATCACTTTTGGGAAATATAGAATTGGTTAGTAGAGGAGCTCTTAGAACAAACGCAAGGGCCAGAAGTAAAAGAGAGTTAACATCCGCTCAAGAAAGAGCTACTTTCGAGAAAGTATTAGGAGAAAGACACAACCATATCAGAGGCATTGATCGGAAACCTTATGCTATCCCTTCAATTTCACAGCCATCGCAACCACCACCACATCCATCACATCCATCATAGGTAAAACAAGATTATTTAATTTCAATAAATGCATGTTGATTTGGTAATTTTTTTGTGTGGTGATTGTTTTCTAAAAGCTTTGGTAATTGGTATCAATAAATGCATGTTGATTTGTTAATCGTGGTGATTATTTGCTAAAAGCTTTGTTAATTCGGTTTTTGTCCCAAGTGCAAGAAATATCAATGTACTTTGGTTTTTTCTCTCTAGTTTAAAAATAGCAATGTACTTTGGCATCATAAAATGGATGTTGATTTGGTAATTTTGGGTTGTGGTGATTACTTGCTAAAAGCTTTGTTAATTGGGCTTTTGTCCCAAGTGCAAGAAATAGCAATGTACTTTGGTTTTTTGTCTCTAGTTTAAAAATAACAATTTACTTTGGCATCATAAAATTCATGTTGATTTGGTAATTTTGATTTGTGGTGATTCTTTGCCAAAAACTTTGTTAATTGGGTTTTTGTCCCAAGTGCAAGAAATAGCAATGTACTTTGGTTTTATGTCTCTAGTTTAAAAATAACAATGTACTTTGACATCATAAAATGCACGTTGACTTGGTAATTGTGTTTTTGTCCTAAGTGCAAGAAATAACAATATACTTTTGGTATATCTTGTATTTAAGTGCAAAAAATAGGAATGTGCTTTGGCAGTTTTTATTTATGTTTGATAATTTAACTTATAAATTTATATATATTGTTATTTATTATGTAGTTGGAAAATCTTCAGGCAATTCTCAACGATCCGACACGTAGGGAGGAATTTATGCGTTTTTTCAATCGGGGAATAATTAAGGAGGAAACGATGGGAATGAAGATGGTGGTTTGTCAGATAATTAATTTGTGTGTTGTATGTTAGACTTGTCGTCACACTTTTCTACTTGTTAGAATTGTAAAACTTTGATTGTTTATTTTGGTATGAATTTATTATAACAATATTTAGTATCTAGTCGGATGTTGTTTTGTAATTTTTTTTCTATATTTAATGTCGTAATGTATCGTTTTTTTTAAATCCAAAATCGTTGATTAAAAAAAACTAAAAAATGAAACATGTTATTACCGACGACACTATTATCGGCAACACGGGCATTAGCGGCGATAGGAGCATTAGCGTCAACAACTCTTTTTACCGGCGACATTTTGATCAATAGCGACAGAGCATTAGCGGGCGACTTATGACCGGCGACATGTTGCCGTTATTACCATTACCGACGACTTGGCTTATCTTTACCGGCGACTTTTGGAAAAAAAAAACAATATTTAATTGAGTAATTATTTAACTTGAAAGCAAATCCCATGTTGTTATTATGGTTGTATTGATTACAATATTTAACATTACCCATGAGAACAAATTGGATGACGATTGACGAATACGTAGTTTGGTTCTTAGCCTAAAATTGTTATGTTGTTATACATGCATATCAAAGAGATGATTGGTACTCAGTAGTTGCTTATCAACATATATGAGACGGAAATGTTAACTTAATTTAATGATTGGTATTCCTAATGTTCTAATCGATGTATAGACTAGTTTGGTTTCGATTTATATGGTACTTGATCAACTTGTTTGTGCATGGCCTTTAATACATACCAAATGATCAAACCAAAAAAAAAACACCAAACTATTGCTCATTTTTGCTTGAATTAAGTATTAATCATATCCAAAACAATGACATGCACAAATGGAATTCTTACAAGTCCTTGAAATGAATGTCAATAAAAGAACATATAGTATCATCAAATAATCAAATTAATAAAAGAATTTGTATCTATCAATTAGGCTTTGTAAAGAATGTAAAGTCTTGACTTTGACTGTTATTGGTTGAATTTACCACGATAGGGCAAACGACCAAAATGCCATAAAGATGGCTACCCCACTGGCGACGCAAGCCATGTCCACCCGTCGTTCTTTCCTCTCCATATTCTCCTTTCTCTCTCTCCTCTTTCGAATGAACTCATCGTATCTTTCTTTTTGCTCCTCTCCTCCGCCGCTATACCTCCTTCTCCGCCTCTGGGCCACCGTAAGTCCTTGTAAAATTACCATACTCTCCTTTCCGCTCAAACACTTGCTATCCATGTCAAGTACCGTTAAGCTAATCCTACTTACGTTTAATACTCCGCAGACTTCTTTCACTCCGCATGTGATCTGTATGTTGCAGTTCACGTAATCCTTATTATGGAGGAGAAAGTCAGGGACGATCACGACCGCGAACGTCACCTCTAGGTCGCCGGTCAACCAGTTCCGTTGGACAGAAACAGGATTTATGCTTGATAGATTCACTCCCCGGTTCTGGCTTGGGTCTATCATGATCCAATTCAACGTCATGTTCTTTTCAAGATTCGACAGAAGTGTCTGATCTTCTCCGGAGAATTTAACGGCCGAAGGTACGACTTCTTTGGGTCCGAGAAGATCAATACGAAACGGAGACGATTGGAACCAGTCGCTGGGGGTGGTGTTGGTGGATTCCGCCTTGGAGAATACGAGTTCGTCGTGGTATCTGATGTCGACGGAGGAGATGATATGGGTAGTTGGAGGTGATGATATGGCAGTGGAGAGGTGGTGGCTGGGAGATGGGAAGGAGTCGGAGTAGAAAGAACGGTAGCCGGAAGGGAAGTTGGAGATAGCTTCGCTGACTAGAGGGTCGGCGATGGAGGGCCAACTGGAAGAGCAGATATCGGACCATAGTTTGTGATCGGTGCAGAGGGTTTGTAGCTGAGAAGATGTACAGCCGGCGGCGGCGAGTGTTTGACCGTCGAGTCTGGTCAAGATGTGGGTTTTGATGATATCTTCATGAATATCTACTATTGCCATGGATTTCCTTGTTTGTTCTCGAATGGCGAATGGATAGGGTTTATGGAAAAGGGAAGTCTGTCGTGGGGCATATATATATCCTTTTCTAAAACGGATAATATCAAAAACGCGCTTTTACTTTTACATAGTTTCTATTTTACCCTTCACGTAAATTTTTTTAGTAGTTTTCGTGTTATAATATCAATATATAATATTCTATTTCCTTTCCAAATAATATAATTATTTATGTTTTATGTTTTAAAATTATGAAAATAAAGATCCGAACTAAGCCTGCAAGGAGAAATACTATAGTCAAGAGGTAAAAACAAATAACAGAGAAGAAATTAGATATAAAGATCAAATCCTCAGCTGTAATTACAATTTAAAATTACATCATTGTACAATGTCCTCTTAATATGTTTGACTTTATATTATGTTGTTGTTGTATTAAAGTATTATTTATGTAAACATCAGAACGGCTTGGCCGGGCCGCCCCACCTTTGCCAAATTGCCACTATCTCTTATGTCATACCCAACGGAAAGTCCATAGGCTCCTTTAATTTTGTACTTTGTAGTTTAAATAATAGAAATATAAATTTAGGGTAAATTACACGAATGGTCCCTGTGGTTTAGGGTAATCTGCGTGTTTGGTCCCTAACAACGTTTTTTAACTCGGACCGTCCCTAATTTATATTTTTGTTGCGCGCTTCGTCCCTGTCCGTTCTAAAAAGACTATTTTACCCTTAATAACTTATTTATTTATTACTTATTCTTTTACCTTTTAATATTAACAATATATTTTAAATTTTTTTTTAAAAAAATGAAAAGAATCCCTAAAACCCTAAGCAACGCCTTCAACCCTCCTTGGCTCCTCCTACACATCTCGTCTTCCATCATCACCACACTCCAGTTGCATCACAAGCTGCATCACAGATCAGCTTCATCTCTGGCGACTCCAACAACATCATACATGGTTGGTGAGAAAAACCTTCATCTCGTTCCCTTCTTCACTCGTGGGATTAATCTCTACTCCGCCTCTCTCACTCTCTATTTCACTTGAAAGCATACGACACATAAAACTCCAATTGTCTCGCTCACGTTTATTCCCAATCTCTCGTATTCTTCCTTCAAGGTTTTTCCACAAACTTCTTCTTTCATGGCCTCCGACCCCCTCTACTATCGTGCGCCATCAACATCTATTGCCAACGCCACCAGAGAAGGCAGATGTGAAGCAGGCACTCAAATCTGGTCAGACAATACAAACTTAAGCATTAGCCTCTTTCTCTGTCTCAGATTAGGGATCATGTTATCGAACTAGAAGCGAGATTTCATGTTTGATTGCAGTTTCCGCACCCAAAACGATCCTACAACACTGATTAGGTTCGATTTAAGGTTCAGTTTCCAGTTTTAGGTTTGATTGAATTCTAGGTTTGAATTAAGTTTCACATTCAAATTTCAGTATGATTTCATGTTTGATTTCAGTTGTAGGTTTGAATTCATATCTGATTTTGAATTTTGGGTATGATTTCAGTTTCACTTTTGATTTTAGTTTCAGTTTCAGGCAAGGTTGTAGAACTCGCTACTCGGTACCTGCTCGGCCGACTGGGGAGTAGCGAGTACTCGGGAGTACTTGGGGAGTACTCGGATTCGGTAATTCATGTAGAAATATTTTTTGGAAAATTATATATGTCAAAATCATAAGTTAAAATCATAATTTGATTGAAATATATAACCAAAATTAGATACATGTGAATACATAAAAACTGAAATACATATAATTGTCTCACTACGTGGATAATTACTGAAAATTTAAGATATATATGTAGTAATAATCACATGTTTGTGTTAAATAATAAATCATTAAGTGCATTATACATATTAATCTTGAACTTCTTGATTTTTTTCTCTTTTTATGACAATTTTGACCCTTTGACCGAGTTTGACCGATTTTGACCGAGTTGGCTGAGTTTGACCGAGTAGGCCCGAGTAAGACCGAGTAGGCCCGAGTTTGTCCGATTTTTGACCGAGTTTGACCGATTTTTGGCCGATTTTTGGCCGATTTTGTCTAAATCCGAGTTTTTCGGCCGAGTTGACATTACTCGCCTCGGTGGAGGGCCGATTCCGAGTAATCGGCCGAGTAAGCCGAGTTTTGCAACACTGGTTTCAGGTTTGCATCATGGATCAATTTAAGGTTCAAGTTCAATTCATTATGGTGATTACAGTAATATGCTTCATTGTAGTCAGAAAAGAAAGTTATGGGGGGAGGAGTTATGGGGGGGGGGGGGGTGGAGGTGGAGGTGGAGCAGGAGCAGACACAATCAATGTGAAAGATTTTTCGGTGACTGAACACAATTAGGGAAGGGAGGGGAGGAGGGTACGGTGGTGTAGGCTCCTGAATTATACCAATATATATTTAATTAATAGATTTTCAACATTTAATTAATATTTTTAATTAACTGGTAATTTAAAATAGGTAAAAGAAGACAGTAAGGGTAAATCAGTCTTTTTAGAACGGACAGGGACCAAACGTGCAATAAAAATATAAATTAGGGACTGTCCGAGTTAAAAAAAGTTTTTAGGGACCAAGCACACAGATTCCCCTAAAGCACAGGGACCATCCGTGTAATTTACCCATAAATTTATATAGTTTAGATTCTAACATTTTTTAAATATTTTATTTGTTTGCATTTTTATTTTATATTTTTAAATATTCCTTAATCATTTTTAATCTTTATTTTAATCAATTGACTATTAAAGAACATTGCATGTGGTCGTGTTTATAAAAAAACAACCATTAATAAGACCATTTCTCATAATGCCATAGTGGAGGAGATTATTGGGATGGAGTACTACGTAAATGTCAGGTTGGATGCATACTATAAGCATTTGCTTGATAGTAGTCGTGTCTATGAAGAATCTGAAGAAGTGGAAAGCCAAGATTCGGAGAAAGACGAAGATCAAGAGGATGGAGAGTTGATTCATGATACGTTTGAGAATTATAGAGTGGTAAAATAAGTGAATAAAGAGGTCCTTTTCCAAGGAACTAACTGCAATGGAATCACAAAATAGTGATTTAATACAAGCAAGGCCAAAATTAAGCCATGAATGTATGTCTTTATCAAAACCGTTGGGATTTGAACACACACAGTTTCCAAGTTCTATGGGATGTGTGATCGGTTCTAAAGCTTTGAGTAAGTCTCAAGACAAAAAGGATAGCGAATGTAATGATCATAAGGCTGAAATGTCAGCTTGCATCGTCGGTGGCTTCTAAAAATGCTTACCATGAAAAAGGATTTACCAATTGTTGGTTAATTTATATAACCAAAACATAAAAATTAGATTTTTTTTAATCTCGAATCTAGTTAAAAAAAAAACTTAAACAATAATAACGATTACACACCGTATATGTATGTTTACTGATCTTATTCTTATTGGTGTTTTCTGGCTTGACCCTTGCTACATTGTGATTTGTGTTTGTATATATAAACTTATGGTTGCTTTTCTTTTCATATGTACTCATCATAGCCATAAGAGATCAAGAACTACCTTTGGATTTTACTTCTCCTTTTAACAAAGGACTAGTTAATACCCATGAAGCAACTGTTTTGACAATTACCATATATTCTTGCTTTGACTTTTTAAATTTGCTGCAATTTTCTTTTCTGACTTGTACTTGTATGTGTTTAAAAGGAAGGCACGTTATGAAAGCTTTGTCTAATATTAATAGTTTAACCAAATATATTATTCTTTGGCCTCTCCTAGCTTTGTGTTTGTGTACCTCCATTTTTTTTAATCGTTCCCAAGTAATTTTGGTTTATCTAGCGGTTCACGTTCACGTCACAATTATAGAGAGAATTCATGTTATGATTAATGGTAACGTGCTTTTCTCTTAGATTGAAAAATCTAATGGTTTATTGTTATTCATGTTGGTGTATTCCATTTTTTTTAAGTCTGGCTATGCATTATGTTTTGCAAGTTGTAATTAATGGTATTATTGTTGCTTACTGGAAAGTAATATTTGTGTTGGTCACGTTTGGGATATTATATTTAACCATTAAAATTTTAATATTTTTTTAGTAAGTATTTAAATTATGGTTTGAGATATTTTTTAACGATAAGAAAACTAAGTTGATAAAGATAAAGACAACATATGTTAAACTAGTTAATGGATTTTGATTCAAGTATCCCTTATGGTAACTTTGGTTATTTTTATTTTAAGCGTTTAATTCTTTTGGTAAAGAATACATATGTTTTGAAGTTGAATTCTTAATGTTTTTACTTGGTTTGCTAAAGATTAATTGTTTTATTCTATAAACAATTAAAGATGTATATGCATTTTAGTTCACAATAAAACGTGTAATCATATACAATCCTCCCTAATAAATAAAGATCTTTTTACCATATGTCATATTTTCATTTATTTTGCCATATTTAATTTTGTAGTTATTTTAAATTAATTTTTATTCCACATGTCATTTTATGGTTTTTTTCATTTTATTAAACTGTAAATAATATTTTATATTCAATAATAAATACATATCAATTTCATTAATGAACTTGCCTTCTAATTTCAAAATTACCAAATTAAAGATTCATTAACTTTCTTTATTTATTTATCTAAATTATTTGTTTAAATTTAAAAGAGAAAAAAAAACACTTTAATTTTTATAATTCAATATTTTTTCAATTTTTTTATAAATTCATACTTTTTAAATGTTTAGAATTTTGTATTAGTTTTTTTTATTGAAACCCATGTAATACATGAGTCTCACACCTACTCCATATTCTAATAAAAGAATAAGTTTAATCTCCTATTGACAAGTGTCATACAATTAGAACTCTTATTAATGTTATATACTCACTTATCATGCCACTTGTCAACCTATTAATTATTCATTTCAAATTTTAAATTTTTCCAATCTAATTACATTAAATTAATAATTGATTATCTATTTCAAATTTCAAAATTTAAATTTTCTCACTCTAATTACATTAAATTAATAATTGATTATTCATTTTAA